AGTGCCTCCTCCTGCCCCTGCCCCTCCCCAACCCCTTCCCCGGAGGGGGGCCTGGAAGGCCGCAGGGTGATGGGGCCAGCCCTGCCCCCCCAGCCCATATCTGGGCCAGGGGACCCCACGGAGGTGAGGCGCGGTGGGGCGCAGACCCTAGCTTCCCAGGCCTCTCTTGCTGGCCCCCTGCCCTTGCCCAGCAGGGTCAGGGGAGCCAGAGTGGCAATGGATCATTTTCTATTGATCACTCAGTCACCCGTTAGGGGGCGCTGTTCTAAGTGCTGCACAGGGGGCAGGCATTAGACTATCCCTGTGTCAGGAGGGGAACCTGAGGCACCCCGGGCACGTGTGGTGCTGAGTGGCTGAGTCAGGCCTGTACCTGAACCGTTCACTCGGTGCCCCTGCTCCGTGACCTCCTGAACAAGCCACACGACCCCTGGCTCCCGTGGCCGCGCTGGAGTGAGGGGCCGGGGGCTCTCCAGGTTGGTCAGGTGCTGGGGGGACCCAGGGCCTGGGAACTGCCCTGAACAACGCAGCGGAAGTCACAGCGAACAGGAGGGCTGCTGCTCCCTTCCGGAGTCTGAGCAAGCAGCTGTGCCCTGCCTGCCACCCGGGGCGGGACCACTGGCCAGACAGAGCACAGGCCAGGCCTGGGGCACACGTGCTCCTGAGACCTCGGGGAGTCCTCATCCCCATGGACCTGGCCCATGGCGGGCACTGTGCTTCCCGTGTGTGGGCAGCGAGTGCAAAGGGGGTGGACAGATGCCCGAGGGCTGAGCTGTTGTCCCATGGCTGACCCTGGAAACCGGGGTAGCCCTAGGCTGCCAAAGGGGTCTGCCCGGATTCCCTCCAGGATTAGCTGGTGAAGGTCTGAAAGCCTTCGCTCTCCATGACAACAGTAGCGCCCGATGGGAGCAACGCCGAGCAGGGCGGCGTCACACTGTGGCCTAAACGAGAGCATTCAGCCACGATCACCGGCAAAAACAAACTGTGCCTGTCGGGGCGCGGGTGCCCGCAACGCCTGGCAGGGCCTGTGCGGGGCAGGTGGAATGACACACTAAGCCGGCCTCGTGTAAATGGTGCATCAGGAAAGCAGCTGCAGACAAGCCTGGCCGCGCCATCACACTGGCTCATGGAGACAGCCGACTGCGGCAAGAGCAGTCCCAGGCAGAGGAGAAGGGACGTTTGGAACCAAATTCTCTGCACTTGGTAGAGAATTGGTAAAAAACAAAAACAAAAAATTAAGATTGGCTTGATGAGGTTTCTCTACAAAATGCATGAAGCAGGAGCCAAAATGTGTCGGGTTGGAGTGCCAGGGTCAAGAAGACTGGTGCTGGCACTGCCCAGGGGACAGCCGGGGACAGCCTTGCCACTGGGCTGCTGGGGCTGGTCTGCCCTCGGCCGTGGGACCGGCCTCTGCTCCAAAGACGCCAGCGTGTGAGGGGAGGGACCTGCCACTCTGCCAGCCCAGAGGCCTGGCCTGGGTGGATTCACGAGGGTGCTGGTGGGTGGTGGTTGCTGTGAGTGCTGAGCCTTGGGGGGCAGTGTACCTGCCTGTGCGTAGGCATGTAGGTAGCATGTGGTATGGTCTATGAGAGCATGCACACAGCACGCACACATGTGTGTGCTGTGTGTTACCATGGAGTACATGCCTGTACTTGCATATAGGTGTGCACATGACTGTGTGTCTATGTATTAATTTGTGTGCGATGTGCCTGCATATGCACACATGCAATATCTTGTGTGCACATGTGATGGTGTCTATATGGTGCTTGTGTGTGAGCATATGCATGCATTAAATATGATGTGTATGTTGCACATACACATATCTATAGGTGTGCATGTGATGTATGCACAAGTATACCATATGTGCATGCGGTGTGTTATATGTATGTGCATGTGCAACATGTGAGAAAACACGGTGTGCATGTGTGACAATTATGTGAATATGTTGTTCCTGTGCACACGTGCACACATGCATGTATGGTGTGTGCACATAGGTGTGTATGTGTGGTGTGCATATAATGTATGTACATGTGGTGTATAGGGTGTGTGCTTGCATGTGTGTGGTGTGCACATGGTTCCCGTGCATGGTTGTATGTAGTGCATGTGCCACTGTCCGCTGTGACCACGTCCCCTTCCTGGGCGGACCTTTGTTGGAGCCACATCTGGCAAACTGGTCCTTGACCCTGGGGCTAGTGACACAGGACAAGACCCTCTCAGGGCGTGTCTGGGGCCTTCCCCTTCCATGCCTGCAGGCGTGGGCAGGGTCCCAGTGACCAGAGGGGAAACAGTGGAGAAGACCACCCCCCGCCCCCCGCTGGGACCTGGGTGGGGTTCTGTAGATTGGCTTTGCGTGTGGCTCTCTGGCTTGTGTCCTGGTGGCCACTCTGATTACAGTGTGTGGATGGGGAGGCCTAGGTGGGTGCGACCTTGACCTTTGCAAACATGCACCAAGGTTGAACAGCTGTGTTTTGGGGTCACGGCTTCCTTGGTTTGCTCTGTCCTGGATGAAGGGCCTGATCTAGTCACCTGTCCACTGGCCTGTCTGCCCATTGGTGCACCCACCCAGCCACCCTCCACCCACCACGGCCTCCCGCTCTCCCTCCAGCCCTGTGACCAGTGAGAAGTGCCATGAACAGGGAACTAAAGGAGGGGGTCCAGGTGGGGCTTGTCCTGGGTGGGGCTTGTCCTGGGCGGGGCTTTCTCTGGGCAGCTAGGTCCAGGTTGGGCTTGCTCTAGGTGGGTTTTCTCAGGGAGAGGCTGTGTGCCCTCTTGGCTTTGCCTGGCAGGTCTTTAAACCCTTCTCCGAAGCCCTCCCCACGGGGCCCAGGGTTGGATGGTCAGCGTGGGCAAGTCATTCATGACTCTGAGACCCATGTTCTCCACTGTAAGACGGGGGGCGGGGGGGGAGGTTAGCACCCTCTTTTTGCACCTCTGTGGGTGGGAGTGAGCTGTTTCTGCTTCCAAGTCCCGGAGCCCTGGTCAGCCCTGCCCTCTGACCTGCCTGGGCAGCGGGCACCTCTCTCTGTGCCCGAGGTGTGCTGACTGAGTGTGCAAACGCACCCCACCCAGGCCTCACACTCGCCTGCAGGACAGCAGCTGTGGGGCGTGGCTCTGGGCCGATGGCCCTGCTGCCTTTCTGCCCTGGACGGGAGCCCAGGAGCTTCTGCGCGGGGCAGGCAGCGGGTGGGCCCAGCACGCGCCCCTGGTGGCCTCTGGGCTCTTCTGGGGGCCTGGACTTTCCCTTCCCAGGAGGCCCAGCCACTGGCAAATGGGGAGATTGTTACTGTCGGCTGGTCCCTGAGGGGGAGGTGTGGGGCCAGCCCTTGTCAAGGAAAGCCTGGTTCACTGTCCCTAATGCCCCCTCCCTGGCCGCCGCCTCCAACCACTCCAGGCCTGTTCCTGACGCGGGCCTTCCCGCCTGGGCTCACCGGACACGCCATCCTCAGGGCCCCTCCCTGAGTCCAGTCCCAGAGTGCAGTGTTACCCCATCGTTCTTAAGGGCAGGAGCTTGGCCATACCCCACCCCAAAGTCCAGCTCAGGGCAGTGGCAGTGGTGACTGGGGAAGGGAGGGAGAAGGCAGGAAGGATGGACAGAGAGAGGGCGCCCCACCTGCCAGGTGGCCAGGTCCCCAGGTCCCCAGGCCCCCGTGGAGGGGCTCTCTTTGGCAAGGGCACTTGGGAAGCTGAGGCGCAATGGTGCCCTCAGCCCCGCCCAGGGGTAGCCCGGGGTGCAGTGGGGGAGGGGCCCGCCCAGCCTCACCTGGCGGAGAGGATGATGACCCGGGCCTCCAGCTCCCGTGCCTCCATCAGCAGGGCCGTCACGTTCTTGGTCCCCGGGTCAAACTGCAGCACCTTCTCCGCCTGTGGTGTGAGCAGGAGCGTTAGCCAGTGGCCGGGCCGGGGACACAGCGCCTCAGGGGCGAGAGTTGGGCCGCAGCCACTAGGAGTCCGAGGCAGCTCCCCTGGGGCTGCTCGGCCTGCACCTGCCACCTGCCCTGTCCACTCGCCTTCCTGCCGCCTGGCCTGGCCTGGGCTCGCCCGTCCTGCCTGCGCCTGCTCGCTGGCCTGCCTGCACCTGCTCTCGGACCTCTCTCTCCACCTGTCACCTGGTCCTCTGTGTGCCGAGCATGCAACCGGGTGGGCCGAGACGCAGAGAGCGTGCAGCGGACGGAGCCTGGCCGAGGTTTGGAATGAACTGGGAGCAGAGATGGGGCGGACGTGGCCCAGACCACGGGAGCTTCAGGCCCGA